TTTCAGCGTCTACACTTGGCAGGCTGCCCTACCGTGGACCCAGACGTCGCGAAGACCGCCCCGAAACTGGCCCAAGAAGCTCCCAAGACAGCCCGAAGACCGCCTAAGAGGGCCCCAAGAAGGCCCAAGACGGCCCAGGAAGGCCCCTGCAAGCCCCCAGGGGAGCCCAACGGAGGCTCCCAGACACCCCAGACGCCGCCAAAACCGCTCCAAAACAGGCCAAGAGCCCCAAAGCACCCACCCCAAGACACCTTCAGGACAGCCCAACAATGCACCGAGTCGCCCCCGAGTCGCCAGACGATCACTCCCAGACGCCCGCGGTCGTCCCCTGACGGCCCACCACGCTCCCGAGGCGCTCCACGAAGGCTCCCAGACGGGTCAAAACGCCCCCAGAACTCTCCAATTGGGTTCCCGGACGGCCACCAGGAGGGCGCCAAGAGGCACAAATATATGGTTGTAATGTGGTTTTTGCTGCTTTGGGTGGTTTCTGCCTGTTCGGCTTGCCGACGCACCAACCCAGCCCCAGAAGCACTAGCACCCGCAACAAGACGATTCCACAGGCTCCCCACAGGAGCGTTCAGAGGACCCGACAGGCCCCAAAGCCGCCCCAAGACACCTCCAGGACAGACCATCAAGGTACCGCGGGCCACCATGCTCCTCGCGCTCCTCGCTCCCCAGGCGTCCCACGAAGGCTCCCAGAGAGACCAAACCGCCCCCAAAACATTCCAAGAGGCTTCCCAGACGGCCCCCCCCCCAAAAAAAACAGGACGCAACATTCATGTGCGTTCCACGTAGGTTTGTTTGGGGGACGTTTCCGGGCATGGGGGGACCAGGGCACCCGAAGCCCTTCACGAGGCTTCCAAGACGCCCCAAGCCGTCCCCAAGACGCCTCCAAGAAGCCCCCACAGGCTCCTGGACCATGCAAGATCCTTTCCAGAAGGCCCACGAGGCTCCCAAAATGTCCCAGGAGCTCCAAGATGGTCCCCAAAAGGGTTCCGTTCTGGGAGGCTGAAATCGCCCAATTCATTTCGAAAAAATTGAAATTTCAGTATAGTTGAGTGGTGGGCTGCCCCAACGTGCACCACGACCCGAGACGCCGCCAAGACCGCTCCAAAACAGCCCAAGAAGCCTCCAAGAGAGCCCGAAGACCGCCCAAGAGGGCCCCAAGAAGGCCCAAGACGGCCCAGGAAGGCCCCTGCAAGCCCCCAGGGAAGCCCAAAGGATGCCCCCAGACACCCCAGACGCCAAAACTGCTCCAAAGCAGCCCAAGGAGCCCCCAAGAGAGCCCGAAGACGGCCCAAGAAGGCCCCAAGAAGGTCCGAGACGGCCCAGGAAGGCCCCTGCAGGTCCCCAGGGGATCCCAAAGGAGGCCCCCGGACACCCCCCAGAGTGCCCACGGACGCCCACAGCTCCCGAGGACGGCACAGAACAGCCCCAGGGCGGCCTCAGAGGGCTTCCAACATTGCTCACAGATGCCCCAAAAGACCTCCCCAAGAGAGCCTCAAAAGGGGCCCCAATACGCCCCCAAAAAGGCCAGAGAGCCCTCCAAAACGACATTGTGTCTTGTGCCCCAGTGCCCGATACGGCTCGGCCCGATCCGATTTGCATCCGATGCTCCGGCGATCCGAGGCGGCCCGATGTGCACGTGGCGCTGTCGCGTATCTTCTGGCGTGGCCGATCCGATGCGGTTTCGACTCCCTGCCTGGGCGGCCGGATCCGACTTGCGTCCCGATCCGGGGCGCTAAACAAGGAACCCTTTTCGTTGGGGAGGGGCGCCGTGTTCCTTCATTGTTTCGCAGCTTGCCTTCGGTTGTCCTCAGCTTTTCGATGGGGAATCGAAGTTTAACTTATGGAGAAAGGGGGCCTCGTTCCTTATTTAGGGTTCCTTAGGTCAACGCCCCGACTGTACCGACTCGAGGCTGACTGATCCACAGACGAATGCGGTTCGGTTCGGTTAGGGTCTCCACCGCGACTCTCCCGGTCCGCTTCGGCTCATCTTTGGGGGAACGCCGGTTCGCGGCCGTTCGATGCGGCTTGGTTCGGTCCAGCAAATTCTGGAACCTTCCTGCAATCGGGTACGCAACGGTGTTTCAACGGATGACGTAACATTAGCCCTATCATTCCCATGAGTTCCATAATTCCCAATTTTCTTCTATTGACCCCCATATTTCCACGATTCCCACACTTCCCATACTTCTCATAATTCCCAGAACTCTAATATTTCCAATAGTTCCCATCATTGCAATCAACCCATACTTGCCATACTTCCCGCAGTTTCCAGCATGTCCACAATTATCAGAAGTCCCACCATCCGCGTATGTCCCTTACTTCCCATACTGCCTACTGCCCATAGCTCCCGTATCTCCCACAATTCCCATACTTCCCACAGCCCACATCACTCCCTTCATGTTCATAGTCTTTACAATTCCCACACGGTAAGTCCCGTAATTCTCATAACTTCCATGAACTCAGTATTTCCCATGGTGGTTCCAAGAGGCCCGAAAATATCCCCCTGGAGAGCATTTACCTCTTCCAGGTCCAGGGAGAGACGCGCTCGTCGACGAGGGGACCCAGGAGGACCGGGTCGGGAAGACGAAGGGCCAGGTGTTCTTGCGGGAGGGGTTGTTGATCGGGTGTTTCTCGGGGTCCAGGGATTGATGATCCAGGATGTGGGGATGTTTATCGTTTCTTGGGGCCTCTGGATGGCTCCCCCCTCTGCGGAAGGACTTGTGTTCTTAAAGCTTACCTCGACCACCCTCTCCCAGGGACTCCGACGAGAGGCTTCGGGTCTTCATGTCGGCAGCAGACATGATGAGCGACAAAATGACGCACAGTTCGCAAGTCAAACCTTTACGCATACGTCTGGCCTCCCTCAGGTCGGCTAGAACAGGCAGGTATACAGTCATACCTGGCAGGTAGGGGAGGTTCCTTTCCACCTGGCATGCCCTGTGTAGCTCTACAGGTAATCAGTGCGCTCCGAGGGTGACCATAGCGTCCGCCCTGAGCAGTTTACCATTTCCCTAGGGGATGCTATGCGTCTCCTCGGGCTCAGAGGACAGGTAGCCCCTGTTCAGTTTCATGTCATACATTCATACCTGCAGTTGCTCCGTCTCAAAGCAGACATCAACACTCGTGTCTCACTTCGGCGGCACTGTCGTGCGGGCGCAGCAGGGCTCGACTACGTCACTGCTACTGGCCTTCTTACGAACGCTTGCTGCAGTCCGGGGATCCTTGTCGGCACCATCAGCACAGCCGGCCTTGATTTTCAGAGAGTTGATAATATAGAGAGGGTTCGGTGTTTTTTTGATTTCTTCGTGAACGCCAATGGAAAATCGTCACACTTACTGAACTCCATGGGGACTGGGAGACCTATCTCATCATATAAGAATACTTAGTGATCGTACATCGCAGAGTAGCAGTAGCACTATCGCCAGCAGCTCGAGTCGCACATCTGACAGCAGAGTCTAAGATGTTTCGGCATTATAACTTTGTACTTGGCGCGTGTATAAAGCTCCCTGGACTTGACGGTGAAGTGTTGTATTGTAGTGTCTACATGCTTACCAACCTTGTGGCGGAGGAGAAGAGGGGGCAGTGGAAGAGCATGATCAACCTTTCCCAGGCTCTTGGGGATACTCTGCTTGCTACTACACAACAAAAGGGGATTTAAATGCGCACGGAGGCAGCACCACGCTCGCGGATGACACCAGCTTTGGGTCTTGCGTGCTCAACACAGCTACTACAGTCGCGGGCAGGTCTCTCGTGAAGTTTGTTAGGGACGCAGGGGCCCGGTGCGGAGATTCATGTATAGTTTGTGCGCGCAGAGGTACATGGAGGCACCCACACACATACACGTGGCATGATATCGACAACACGAGCACATTGGGCAGCCTGGGGCGCGCATTCCAGCACATGCGCACGCTAGCCACAAGCTTTTCGGATCACATGGCGAAGCAGCTCACGGTGCGTTTACCCACAAGCACGACGCAATGAGCACGGCAGGTTCGCAAGCAAAAGGTGTCAGTCTTCACGCGAGCACGACAGATCGCACGCGAGCAGCGTACATTACCTTTCTGGTATGACCTCCTGCGGGACCCCACTGAGCTCGGCACGCGTCACCGCCGACAGTATCAGGATCGTGTCAGACAGCTGACGGCGGAGCTTCTCGACCCCGCCGGGAGTGGGCAGCGCAACGTCCATTTTCCTCCAAATTAGTGACGCTTCGCGAATCCCCACCAGCCCATCCAGAAACGATGCCCAGAGGAAGTGCCTCGATCAGGGAAGTGGGCAGCACACAGAGGAAGCCATTATGAGACATCTTGGGATATCTTGAGCCATCTTGAAGGTCATCTTGGGCTCTCCCAGGCGCTCTTCGAGCCATCTTAATCAGTGCCCCCCCCCAAGAGGCCAACATGTGGCTAAAACCTTCGTAAAATCAATGATTTGGCATTCTCGTCGAGGCCTCTTGGAGCATCTTGGGTGCCTCTGGGGGATCTCTTGGGGCCTCTTGGGGGTCTCTTGGGGCGCGAGGGCAGCCGCGGCCCCTGCGGCAGCAGGAGGCCTCGTGGCCCGAGCGGCGGCGCGCCGCGCGCAGCCGCCCGGGCGGGCGGAGGGCCTGCGCTCGCGGCGAGCGCGAGCCCGCAGGGCCCGCAGGCCCGAGCACGGGCGCAGCTCCGAAAGCCCGAGCCCGAGCCCGACCGAGCCCGAGCGCCCGGCCGCGCGAGCCGGAGCTCGATCGCGGGTGCGACCGCCAGGCCCAGGGCTCTCCTCCTCCTCCTCCTCCTCCTCCTCCTCCTCCTCCTCCTCCTCCTCCTCCTCATCCTCCTCCTCCTCCTCCTCAAGGCTGTTTCGCTGGACTTCGGCGGCTCTGTCTTCTTGTTGTTTTCTTCCGGGGCAGGGAGGTACAGGAAGACAGGTGGCGCAAAACGAAAAGCCATGCGAACAACAACGTGTAGGTCCAGTCCCGGTCGGGCCCCCACCGGCCGCGACCGCGATGGCCCCGCCGCGGCGCCGCGCCGGCGGCGCCGCTCTCGCCGCCGCGGCCCTCGCCGCTGCGGCCCGCGCCGCCGAGGCAGCCGCGCCGGGCGACCCTCGCCTGGGGATGTTCCAACCTACTTTTAGCCCTGGTCGCCCTGGTCGCCAAAAAGAGCTTCGAGCACCAGGGGAGTACCGAAACTGGAGGTTTTCGCGTGTCGTGCCCTGAGAGGCGGCACCGTTCCTGCACTTCTCTGGGTGCTCGACATTACTTCTGGGGTGTGGTCTTCGAGCACGATGGGAGCAACATAGCCCTTGCCCGTCCCCAGACCCTTCTCTCTGGCGTCCTGCGAGAATCAGGGCGGCCCGGTGACCGGGTGAGCTTTTCTGAGTTTGTTGGCACGGTCGAAGCGGGTAGGGGAAGAAGGGGCACGAAGACCAAGAGCAGTTCTCGTTCAGTTTGCACAGGACTCGCTGTCGGCGCCGCCGCGGTCGTTGTCCATTTTGAGACGGAGCGCCGCAACACCCGCCGCTGTCGGTTTTGGACAACAGTTGTTGTTGGGCATCGTACCTTTTTTTCCGTAGCCATATCGGGTGTCCAAATTTTTGAGTTTGGGGGCTCCAGTGGGCTGGCTTCGAGCCCAGGGGCACCTTGGGCCTGCCATCTGCCAGACGGGGTTGGCGCAGATGCGGTCGGAGGGTCACGCCGCATCGTCGATACACCAGCGATGCGGCTCGATGTGGAGCACCATTTTCTCCACGCCGACGGCGACGATGCATCGCCGATACATTGGCGATGCGGCGCGATCCTCCGACCCCGTCCACTCGGACCCCATTTGGAAGGCCTCTAGACGCCTGGCGTTCTGCAGGAATCAGGGCGGCCAGGTCGGCCCTTCGGAGTCTGGGGCCCCGGTGGACCGGCTTCGGGCCGAGGGGCGCAGAACAATTGCCCGCGGTGCGAGGGCCATCCTGATGTGGAGGCCGAGAGCGCTGGAACCCCACGGATTGACAAAATCAGAAGGTCGCTGGTTTGGGTAATTGCGTCTGCTTTCTTCCATGTTTTTGCTGGCCCCTAGGGATCCATCAGATACACACGCACACACACACACACACAACGGCCGAGCGCAGCTTGAAACAAAAACTACCACGATAACTTCTGGGAGGGGCATGGGAGCCGAGTCTGAGTGGTTCTGGCCAGTGGGAGCAAAGTGCACTTCTTTGTCTGAGGCCGAGGGCTGGGTCGGCCTGGGCAACACCGGCGAGGTCCACATCGAGGATGGCGTGGACAAGTCGCCGATTCGGGTCTCTGGCGGCAGCGGGAAGGGCCTCGGGGACGACGATTCTTTCAAGTTGCCAGGCTACGCAGATTCCCTGCATGCGGATCCAGCGTGTTTTGAAGCTGACCCTGAGTGGGCAGAGTACCGCCTTGCGTTGCAGATGGAGTACCAGGACCCAGAGATGGACGAGGACATGAAGGCTTTGACAGCCTGGCAGTTTTTCATGGACTCTGGGTTTAAGCAGTTCAAGGTGCTAGACAAAAAGGCAAATTCGTGTTTCCTCGGAATCTGCGCCACCTTGTACCACGTGGCCCGGCACCGTATGATGGTGGAGGGTATGTACAACAGCGCCGTCGCCCTTGCCAAATCTCTGGATCGCTTCGTGGCGTCAATCCACCCCAGTAAGTTTGATGACGCCAACAAAGTTGACACTGGTGGTTCCTGGTGGCCCGTGAGCGACCAGATGGTGGGACGGCTCATGCGGGACATCGCCAGAGAGAGCCGAGGGCGCATGTTGGATACCAATTGCGGTTCGGAGAGGGGCTGTGTCAATGGCACCAAGCCCCTGCATGGCAACGCCTTCCACGCGATGGCCAACGACACCTTGCCCGTACGAGGGCTCGGGCCCGATGAGGAGGTTCGGTGATTTGAAGCACACCTAAAGTATTGCAACATTTTTATCAATGCTGCGAAAAGCTGCTAGAACATCATCGGTTTCACATTACGCGAGCGAAAAGGTAGACGTTTTCCCTAGCAGCCTTTCGCGCTGAGAATTCTCCAGCAGTGTTTTTAAAAGTGTACACGCAAGGGAGGGGGTCCCTGCAGCTGCCTATGCAATACCGCTGTGCTCGGATTGGGCTCGGAACGCAACTCTGGTACTCGCGCCGCCCACGTTCTCAGGATGGTAAGCGAGTCCGAAGAGGGGTGGGAACAGGCACTGGAGTACGAACAGAAGTAGAAGCAATTGCGAGTGCACAAAGGTTTGGTAAGTTTGTTCGAGTTGCCTGGAGGTGCCGACAATGGCCTCGGCTTTCAAGGTGTACGTGTACGACGTAGATGATGCACACCGCTTCGCGGGGTGACACGGCCAGACCAGTGTTCCGATGATGTCTGGGCCGTCGTGGGGGTTCTTGGGGCTGCCTTGGGGGCAGGATGGGCGCCCTATTAGGCAGTCTCGGAGCCTTCTTGGGCACCCTGGAGCCTCCTTGGAGGCACTGCAGTGGGGGCGGTGGTTAAGGAACATGCCCAGTAGCCTTCACACCCTGGGGGGGTCCTTCTCTGCTGAGGGCGGCAGAGATATCCATGGCCAAGCCTCCATCTGTTTTCAACCTGCTTCCAGACCCTGCGTCCTTTGTCCCATGGTTCCTTATCCAACGCCTTCACCGTATGGGAGTGCTCAGGGGCCCTCCTGGGCCGTCTTGGGCCGGTCTTGGACCATCGTTTCCTTGTTGGGGGTCCCTCTTGGAGCCCTCTCGGGATGTCTTGGAATGATTCTGGGGGCCTCTTGGGGAATGTCTGACGATCAGAAAGGCGAGCATCATTTTTGCTTGCAGATGCCCCGCTGGGTTTCTCTTGGGGCATCTTGGCCCGTCTTGGTAAATAGCCTCTTGGGCCGTCTCCTTCTAAGGGCCCTCTTGGGCTGTCTTGGGGCTACCTTGGGCTATTTGGGAGCATGTTTGGGCCGTTGGCCAGCCCGACATCGGGGGGAGACGATGGATCGGCAGATGTGGCGCGTCCCGCCGGGGGGCGGGCAAGTCCACGTCCAGAAGTGACGCGGTGCTGGAGACAGGTCGGACGAACGCCTGAATGCAGCGTGTCCAGTGTATTCACTTCTTGCGTATTGCTAGATTTTGTGCCACTTCACATTCTGATGTACACCCCCTTCTCCTGCTCCTGGCGCCACGCCACTGCCAGGGACCCCCAGGGACCCAAGGATGGCGGACCCCTTCTGAGCTTCAAAACCAAATAAAAACGCAGGAAAACGAGTTTGGCCTCCTCAGCCTTTTCAGGCGTCAGGATGACCTCAAGACGGCTCAAGATGATTTCAAGGCGGCCCAATATGGCCCCTAGACGGCCCAAGATGGCTCCAAAGAGGGCCCAAGAGGCCCCCAAGACGGCCCAATCTGGCCCCGAGAGGACCACCAAGAGGGCCTCTGAAGGCCCAAAGCAATAAATTCTGATCGTTTCTGCATGACCTTAGCGTCCTCGCCTTCCTCGACTCTCGGGGTCTTCCCGTGACGGCCAACGCAGCTTCCAAGATGGTCCTGCAAGAGGGCCCTGAAGCTGCCCGAGAGAACCCCAAGGCAGCACCGAGAGGTCCCCAAGACGGCCTCCGAAGGGTCCGAACGGCGCAGGAGTGCCCTTGGACGAAGGATTGCAGAAAAACGAAGGATTGCAAACAAAGGAAAAAAAAAAAAAAAAACCTTGGACGAAGGATTGCAAAAAAAACCTTGGACGAAGGGTTTTTGTTGCAATCCTTCGTTGCAATCCTTGGCGCAAGAGTGCCCTTTGGATTCCATGGCCCAAGACGCCCTCCCAAGGCTCAAACCTGGCGTCCAGGAGGCACCACGACGCCCCCGAGAGGCCCAGTGGCCCCCCAGGAGGGGCTCCGAGCAGGCCCCACGACAACTGGACTGCACGTGTGCACCCCGCGAAGCGGGAGGAAGCCACGTCCTCCCCCCTCCCCCTCCTCCTCCTCCTCCTCCTCCTCCTCCTCCTCCCCTCCTCCTCCTCCTCCTCCTCCTCCTCCTCCTCCTCCTCCTCCTCCTCCTCCTCCTCCTCCTCCTCCTCCTCCTCCTCCTCCTCCTCCTCCTCCTCCTCCTCCTCCTCCTCCCACGTCCGGACTGCGGCGAAGCGACACGGCAGTCCGAGGGGGAGGTGTGTGGCGCAAGGGGGGCCCGCCTGAGGCCCCTCCCGCCCTCGCCCTGTCGCCCCAATTGGTGCTTCGCGCGCCCCGCATAGCTCTTAACCGGAAGGGGCCCGCTCCCGACCCGCCGACCAAGAAAGTGTGGCGCAAGGACCAGGCGACGATACAAAATGCAGCCCAGATTTGGGATATTGCGACGTTATCTCGTGCAACGCAGCCCCCTGAGTCCCCCCAGGGCCGCCGCCCGAGCTGGCATCCTAGCTGCAACAGTCCAACATTCTGATGAATATCATTACGTGTGGCGTCTTGGGCGTCTTGAGGGTTGAAGAGAGGATCGAGGCGGCTCTGGAGGGCCTCAAGGCGGCCCAAGATGACTCCAAGACGGCCCATGATGGCCTCAACACGGCCCAAGAGGCCGTCAAGGTGACTCGAGAGGCCTTCAACACGTCCCAAGAGGTGATCAGCACGGTCTCCAAAGGCAAAGACCATTGATTCCATAGTTTAGAAACTTATATCAGATGTTGCCGGGCGTGGTCTTACAAGCCCGGCTGTTCGATGGTTTTTTGTCTTTTGTTTGCGTTGCCTCTGCTTCCGCTTCCAGATGCGTGGCCCCGCAGCTGCCTCAGGGCCGCGCCCAGCCTCTGCAGGCCCCGCCCCGCCAGAGCCAGCCCAGCCCCACGAAGCTCCGGTTGCCCCAGGGGGTGGGAGGTGCACGGGCAATCCGCAACTCGCTGGAAACCGTACCCCCAAGCAGGCCCCAAAGGCACCACCAGGAATTGAACCCAAGAAGATCAGAATGTGGGAGGAGGTTTGCCCCATTTTACTATAGCACCAACAGATTTATAGGTAAGGAGGGGGCCCTATTGTGCTTGCCCCACTCTATGGCACGTCGCCTATAGCCATGAAGCACAGGTGGCGATGGCAGCGGCGTAGCTCCGGCGGTGG